AATTGCAACATTGCAGCAAATCGCGACCAGAACCCCAGACCCCATCCTTATGCGTCGTTTTTCGAGCCGGATTGATCTGTGAGGGTCCCTGGGCCCGAAATTGAGCGAAAACACTCGTCGTGAAAAAACTGCAACGCCAGGATATCAGGGTTGGTACCTTTTGGTTTCTCCACGGGAGGGCTCACGAGCGGCGAATGTATCCGTGCCCGCGCCTTCGGGGCCTGGGTTCCATGTCGCGAGGCCGCGGGCGTGCGGTCGTACGGACACGTCTCGCCGCCCAGGCCCAGGGGCTTGCCCCGCGAGGCCGCGGACACGGACATCCGTCAGTCGTGGAACGTTGGTATTTCAGGATTCCCAGAGCCCAGCCACTAGAGTGCTTCAGGCGCCCTCCTAGTCCAAGAACCGACCTGCTTTTGCTGTATTCTGTCACCCTTTGGGCGGGCCCGAGCCCAATCTACTTTTGTTTTCCCGCCGCGTGCGTTTCTACCTGCTTCTCCGGCCGACGTGTATGTTTTTCGCCCACGAGGGCCTCGCCGTGCACCCGGGCCTTTTGACGCTGTCAGAGGTGAGCACGGCTGGAGGCGCCCGTTTTGGCGGCTTCTGCCTCCAGGCGGGGGTTCTGTTCCCCTGGGGGACCTGGGGGCCGGCAGAACAACGGGGCCAGCCCCACGGAAGGTGTCGAGAGTTCTAGGGGTCGGGAGCCTTGAGATGGGTTCAGGTGCAGGATTCTGCAGAATCATGCAGGATCCTTCGCGTTGGCCAGGGTTTGGGTGCAGGATCTTTTGGGATCTTGCAGGATTCTGAAAGGCCTGACTGACCTGGGTCTGGATTGACTCGGATCAGCAGATCCCCGACGACAGGGGGCCGGCCCCACGGAAGGTGTCGAGAGTTCCGGGGGTCCACCTCGTGTGAGAACATCATAGCTAAGGTAGGGTCGGACGGGGCTAGGACGAGGATCAAGCCGCTCCCGAGTGTTCCGGATCGCCCTCAGAGCGTTCCGGCATGCTCTGATAGTAGGCCGCGGCTCCCGAAACATCTTCCAGAGCGGCCCGATCTCAGAGGTTCTCGAGTTATCCTCACTTGAATTTATCCTCGTCCTGGCTTCGTCTTCTAGGGGGCCTTGGTATTTGGTCGGCCAAGGAGCCGAGCAGTTCGGCAAAGGAGTCCACGCGGTGTGCAGTTGCCCCATCAGCCCGCATCCTGCAATCTGCTGGGGCGTCCACACACTCGGAGGGCACCAACTGTGCACCTGCACCGATCCTAGCCAGGCCGATCCTGGGCCCAGCATGCGCCTGGCCATGGTCGGTGTAGGTGTGCATTCGGCGCCCTCCTGCACACCGAGCCCGTGGCCGACTGGGCGCCTCGGTGTGTACTTCGAGCTCCTCCCAAGGCAGAAGGGGGCCCACCCGCAGCTGCCGCACCCGTACGAGGCTCGGGGGGCACCGAAGGGGGCTCCTGCTCTTCCGTCGAGTTCGAGGTCCAGGGCCCCTTCTACTCGCCCTCCTCCGCCGTCAGGCCAGGGTGTATTCCACCGCGGCCAAGCGGTGCAGCCCGTGCGCCGTGTGGCCCCTCCTGCACGAGGTGCACCGCGGATGATACATCGGATGCGGGCAGCCGCGCTTTGCAGACTTCAACCACCTTGGTTGGCACCCTCATCACCGCGGGTAAACCGTTCGACCGTGCCGCGGGGGGCAGGCGCAGGGAAACTGGCTCGGTTTCTTTCGGGTTTTCAGCTTCGGTCTTCTGGGGTCAGGCCCAAGGAGGCACTTTTGCTGGGCAGAGGTTGGAGTCCTTTGTATCTCCCGCGTGGTGGTAGCGTCATGTCTTGTCGGCCCTGCTGCGGTCACCTGCATTTCGTTGAAAGCAGGCAACAGCCTTGGCACAGCATTGTCCTCATACGAGTGGGCGGTCTCTGCCAGCGCCTGTTTCCCCAACCGATCGCTGGGGACGGAGTGCGTTGACCCCAGCAGGGGTGTTCTGACTCCAGTTGTGGTGATGCCACCTCTCGATCCCTGCGAATGCTTCTGGGACGACGTCGGTCAGTCCTCGTCCCCCTCGCAGCTTTCTGCCCCTCCGGAGTGTAATAGTAGGATTATCGCTGACAATGCATATTTTGGCTGTCGCCGCTGGTGATGGCGTAACACAATTGACCAAAGGCCCTGTGAGCCAAACGTCCGCGGGAGGTTTGGGCTCGGAAAGGCACTGGCACGCGCAGCGGGCCAGACAGAGGGCAGAGGCGGAAGCTGGGGGAAGGAGCAAGGGAAGTGCTAGGAATCACAGTCCTCCTGCTTGACTCCTGTAGGTGCTCGCGGCACCGGGAAGGCGTCAAGCACTTAGACTGACGCTCGCTTCATTACGCACAGGGCCTTGGGTAATCAGCAAACGGCTGATCCGGCATGCAATCAGGAAACCTCGCGCTATTACTGGATGAGTTGCACAAGCCTGCAATCGGAAAATAATTCTTACAATAAGCTAGCGGGCTCAATCTCGCGATAAGCTCGGCAGAGCTTCACAGCAATCACTACGCAAGGATGGCGGATGATCGTCATCACCTCTGAATAAGCGAGTGCAAACAAAAAACAATGGCTGCAGCTGGCGGTCAGCAACTCTGTAGTTGCCTATGCGGAGTTAAGTGTAAATCTTTGGCCGGGGGTGGAATCACTCATTGCGGACTAACGTAAACTGTTGCACATGGCAACTCCAGGCGAGTGTGCTTCGCTCACTTGCGCTTACGGCTCGGTTTGTGTGACAAGCTCGGCTTCGCATCAACACCAGCGTTGGGCTGGCCATTTATGATCCTCCATCGGTTCTCGACATCCCACCGCAAGGTCTAGTGCAGGTCCGAGAAGTCGGCCCGTCCGTGCTTTTTGAGCCAGGCAAAATGCTTCTGACACGTAGGGCAGGTCACGTACACACTATGCGGGTTGTGGCTAACCCGTGGAAGGTGGCCGTTGATGGCGCACTCGTTGATATCTTCCGGTCGTACTGTCGGAGTAAAGCATTTCCAGGACACAACCTTTTTCGATGTTGCGGTTGTCGAGTTTGTCAACGTTATTGGAGTCGATGGCGCAGCCGATTCTGGCGTTGTTGGTGCAGCCCAGCCATCACCTGTGATACCGCTCGAAGCTGATGCAGTAGACGCAGCGGCCGCCGCTCTTTGCGCCTGTGGCGTCTGGCTGGGTGTTGGTCGCGTAGGCCTTGCTGCCGATGACGCCGTCGATGATGCCTCCAGGTGATTAGCCCTGCCAAGATGCCGTCCATCCCATGCCGGATGATACCCTTGGCGCCCGGAGTCCTGACAGGCTTCGGGTCTTTCCTTCTCTTCCGTCGTAACGTTCGGCGGGTAGCCATGGGTATGTAGGATGTGAATGATCGCGGCAAGCACGCCAATGCCGATGAAAATGCCAACCATGAGCATCGTCAACAGCCCTTGGAAATACCACCAATATGCTGCGCCATCAGGAGGCGTCATAGGCGCAAGTTGGCCCTTGACGCGATTGATGTACGTCATCAGGACTGACGTGAGCATGGCGGCATGTGGCTGCCGGGTCCCGTAGTTGTGTTTGCGGGCCCCACAGGAACATAACAGCACCCCAGCATCCATCGCCTTGGTGAGGGCGTCCGCGACCATGGCCCAGGTTGGGATCCACGTGAGGTGAAGGGCGCTGTTCGGGTGCACGGTCTCCTGGATCATGGAGGCGACAATCCTGAACCGCTTGTCCGAGGACAGGCCCACGTCCGACTTGATCTATGTGACGAGACCCTTGCTATCGCTGTAGATATCGCCGGGAAGCTTCCCGCTGAGCACGTCAATGTATTTGAGCAGCTTCTGGGGGTTGTGGGCCTCGGCGACTGGCGGAACCGCGTGTTGATATCCCTCCCTTCGAGCGCAGCGTCGCCCTCGGCGGCTTGGGTCGACTTCGCCGACCTCTTGACCGCACCCGAATGCCAGGCCACGGGCAAGCAGAGGTCGTAGCGGCCACCAACGACGTCGCGTGGTCGGTAGGTAAGGCCCATCGCCATGCCCCATTGGCTCTTGACGCCGTCCACGTTGGTGAAACAGACCGTCGCGTCGTGCAGGTCTTCATGTCTACCATGTTGCGCCTGATCACGATGGCGAAGCTTGCCGCCGAATGCGCGTAGGCGACGGTCTTGTTGAGTGTCTTGGCGTCGGCCACGGTGGCGACGCTGGTACGGCGAGCAGCGAAGCTGCCCGGGCAGGCGATCTCCACTCGGGTCTGAACAGCAAGCCGGAACAGCTGCCCGAGCGTGTGTCTGTAGCTTGACACCTGAGCTGGTGTCAGGCGATCCTCGGGTGACCGCTTCTTCGAGTCTGTCTCGACGTAATCCACCTGCGTGGCCGCCGTTGTCTGAGCCACCCTGTACTCGTCCGCGGTCTTGTCGATCAAGCGGCCGCAGTATGTGATGATGCCCTCGACCTCATTGAGGTGGAGCATCCTTTCCAGAGATGCGATCGTGGCCTTCCAAGAGCTTGAGCCATCGCGACGTGCAATCAGGAAGGCATCCACGTGCGAGTGAATCACGGCAGCGAACCCCTTCTCGTCGCAGTAGTAGTAGTAGTAGTAGTAGTAGTAGTAGTAGTAGTAGTCGTAGTCGTAGTCGTAGTCGTAGTCGTAGTCGTAGTCGTAGGAGTAGGAGTAAGAGTAGGAGTAGGAGTAGTAGTAGTGTAGTAGTAGTAGTAGTAGTAGTAGTAGTAGTAGTAGTAGTAGTAGTAGTAGTAGTAGTAGTAGTCGTAGTAGTAGTAGTAGTAGTAGTAGTCGTAGGAGTAGGAGTAGTAGTAGTGGTAGTAGTAGTAGTAGTAGTAGTAGCAGCAGTAGTACTAGTAGTAGTAGTAGTAGTAGTAGTAGTAGTAGTAGTAGTAGTAGTAGTAGTAGTAGTAGTTGTAGTCATAGTCGTAGTAGTAGTAGTAGTAGTAGTAGTAGTAGTAGTAGTAGTAGTAGTAGTCGTAGTTCGTAGTAGTAGTTAGTAGTGGTGAGTAG